AGCTGCCTTCTTCTTATCTTTCTTTCTTCTCAAAATTGAAGAAAGTGTCTCCTGCATAGGTTTCTTTGAAAGATTAACTGAGATAAGCAAAATATCTGTATTCACCACACAAGACAGACTAGCCATGTTCTTGTCACCAAGCATAAATTCATTTTCACAAACATTCATCAAAAGTCAGAGAAGAAAAACAACACTTAGGGCAGATTACTTACAGGACTGTCTCCCTAACCACTCTCCCAGATATTAAAAGCTTTACTCCCAGACCAAGCCAGATCATCAGAAAAATACATACCTGAGTTCCACTGTTCCTCCTACAGAGAACTCATTATCAAATTACATTACAGAATGAGGTTGCTTTCCAGGTGGCTCAGTGGTATGAGGCCACATACATGACGGTATGAAGCCACCACACCACAGTATGATGCCACCATACATTACGGTATGGGCTTCCCGGGTGGCCCAGTAGTAAAGACTCTGACTGCCAGCAGGAGACACTGGTTCCATCTTTGGGTTGGGAAGATCCCCTGGAGGAGGAAATGGCAACCCACTCCAATACTCTTGCCTGGGAAATCCCATGGACGGAGGAGCCTGGCGGCTTACAGTCCATGTGGTTGCAAAGAGTTGGATACAACTAAGTGACTGAGCACATGAGGTTGCAGACCATATTATATTGATGGGCCTCACAAGAATAAGCTCCATGAACCTTATTATTTGCATAATTCAGAGGCTGCCAAGGACATTTTTTCATTACCCTTTCCAAAGAGCTATTTATAAGATACTGCAGGAGAAAGACCAGCCTGGATTTAGGACAAAAAAATGGCAGCAGTTGTCCTGAGTTTTGAAAGCCTGAAGCAAATATAGATTTACTGTTTAGAGTCAGTGGAACAGTCCAAAAGTTCATTCTTACATTTATTCAAAAATATTTATTGAGCACCTACTATGCGCCAGACTCTCCATTGGGATCCAGAAACACAGTGATGAGCAAGACAGGAGATATCTCTGCCTTCACAGACCTAGAGCCTAGTGGGAAGGAAGAGATGATCCAACAAGCAATTGTAGTTACAAAGCAGTGACACAGAATGAGCCAGAAGCAGATGCTGGGAACCTAGATGAGATCTATCACCAACTTAGGTAGATGCAGAGGCTCAAATAAAGCTAAGCTTTGACCACGAGAGGACTAGGAGGACCCCAGAGGGAAGATACATATATCTGTGGATATCAAGGGGAGAAAGACACAAGTCAGGAAAAGGCTAGAAGTAGATACCAGGAAACTAAGACTATGGATCCCTTACCACAACCAGAACTGATCTATGTATGTTCTTTACATCAGTACAATGTCTCCATGAATAGAATTATATTGTGCAGAGTGCTCATAACTATATCTAAATTAGGTCCTAGCCTCCTGAGGAAACTGGCCTGATTTTATGACTCTCAATAACTATATTCTAGGAGAAAGAATCAAAGAAAGAACAAAGAAAGTTCTGGTATTACCTGAAATATGATCTTTGCTATTTAATCAATCACAGAGAGTCATGTCAGTGCAACCTTGACAGTTTCTTTCCATAACCACTTACTTCTGAAAGGAGAGGGGAACATCAGTCTATATTGGGATTATAAATGCCTCCTTCAAATTGAATGCAACTGCCTTCTTCATTCACAAAGTTGCTGGATATTTGGAGAACACAATTAACTACCTTAGAGGTATCCTGGCACCAAGAAGTTTCACTGAGCAAGCAGGACACCTGGGTTTCAGTCCTAGTCCTGTCACATAAAGAAATTATGTATCCAGAGAAAACTAATTCAAAAAGACACGTGCACCCCAGTGTTCATAGTGGCAGTATAATAGTCAAGACATGGAAGCAATCTAAATGTTCATCAACAGAGGAATGGATAAAGAAGATGTGGCACATATATACAATGGAATATTTCTTAACCATAAAAAAGACTGAAATAATACCATTTGCTACAATATGGATGGACCTAGAGATTATCATACTAAGTACAATAAGTCAGATAGAGAAAGACAAATATATAATATCACTTAGATGTGGAACCACCAAAAAAATGATACAAATGAACTTACTTACGAAACAGAAATAGATTCACAGACATAGAGAACAAATGTATGGTTACCAAAGAGCAAGGCATAAATTAAGAGTTTGGGATTAACAGATACACACTACTATATAGAAAACAGATAATCAACAAGGACCTACTGTATAGCACAGAGTCTGTTTTGTATATTCAAAACCCTTTAATAAACTATAATGGAAATGAATCTGAAAAGAATCTTTATATCAGTACAGTGTCTCCATGAATAGAATTATATTGTGCAGAGTGCTCATATATGTGTATAAAAAGAACATATATGTGTATGTATAACTGAATCACTTGGCTGTACACCCAACACTATCACAACACTATAAACCAACTACACTTCAATTAAAACAAATAAGACGACAGATGAGGCTTGGAGGCTATACTCAATGAACTTGGTACCTCACGTGCTTAGTGTAGTAATACACACAGCCAATATTGACTGAGGGTTTTGGCAAAGGAAATGGCAACCCACTCCAGCATTCTTGCCTGGAGAATTCCGTGGACTGAGGAGCCTGGTGGGCTACAGTCCATGGGATCGCAAGCAGTCGGACACAACCCAGTGATTCACACTCACACACACACACATACTCTGAAGGTTTTCTATGGATTAACGAACAACAGCCTCTTGAGGAGGGTATTGTTTCATGGAGGGTCACATGACTGGTAAATTCAAACTCAAGTGGTCTGGCTGAAGAGCCCAGGCTTCTAACTCTACTTCACTCTCCCAACTCCATCCAGCATTTTCCCAGGGAAACTGGAAGGACGGATCAGACTAGGGTTCCTCGGGATACATTCGAGCATGCATCACCTCTTCTCAAGGGCCTTTACAACATGAAATGAACAGCAAGAGAGCCTTCCAGGGGTTCCTTCTGTGCTGCTGGCCCAGGAGAGCCTCAGTGTGTGCCTGCTGTCTCTGTCTCTGCACCCTCCCGGATCTCCCTTCCCTCCAGGATGCTCCTGTCTGGAGGAAGTGATACAGCCACCTAAGCCCAAAGGCTAAGAGCTGATGTCATGAAGTTTGCTGGACCTGTGCTCAAAACTGAGCTTAGCCATGAATATGAGGCCAATTGCTTTGCCTAAATAAGCCTGGTTATTCTCATCTACAAAGTGGAAATAATAATAGTACCTACCTGCTAGCACTATTGTGAGAAACATAGGAATCAAGGTGTATATGGACTATATGTCTCAATCTGTGCAGTGTTTAGCAAATAGCAAGCACCCACTAGAAATGAGCTTTTACCAATGTTTGATTGAATGTTAGAGAGGCTTTCTCACATTGGCCTCATCCTGGTGAGACTCTGTGAACTTGAGAAATGGAAACACACCTGTGAATCTGAAGCACTTAGCCATGAACCAAGATGAGTAGGGAATGACCAGTCTTTCTAAGCAAATCACAGGTAGTTCAAGAAGTACCCATTCTAAGGCTAAGATACTCCTAAAGTCATTAAAATGCAGTTTGGCTTTTGACCACTCCCACGGCTTTAATGCATTCCAGTCCATACTCCACAGGGCCTGGGATGAAATGCTTTTATGGTGACAGGAAGGGGCTTCCCACGTGACTCTAGTGGTAAAGAACCCGCCTGCCAATGCAGGAGACATAAGTGATGCCGGTTCAATCCCTGAGTTGGGAAGATAACCTGGAGGAGGGCATGACAACCCACTCCAGTATTCTTGCCTGGAGAATCCCATGGACAGGGGAGCCTGGCGGGCTCCATGGTGTCCATGGGGTTGCAAAGCGTCGACACAACTGAAGCGACTGAGCTCGTACTCACATGGCGACAGGAAGTAAAGAAACAGCCTTTGAGCTTAGAGTCTCTTTGGGGTTCTTTTTAGCCTCTTGGACTAGCCTGGATTGAGCTAGTGCCAACTTCTGGGATCACTGTGCTTTCAAATACAAGCAAGGGACCTACCCTACTTTGTCCTAACACTCCGGAATTGTCTCAGGCATCAGAGAAAATTCTTTCTGTGGCATGAACATGGCCACACACCAGTCCTGGCCACCTGCAACCGAAGCAACTGGCTGTACACCCTGGAACTTGACAAAATGTTTATCACCTGAAGGCATCTGGACACTCAGGTTCCATAAACCATAGTCATGGACTTGGAGAAACCACCAGCTGATTAGTGTATCTACAAAACAAATCACCTCTTTTGACCTCATTAGCTTTGTAAATGAAAGCAGTTAAATCCACCTTTGTGAAAAATGAAGGTGTTGAATCTAACATGATCTGGTTCTGGGCCTCTTAAAAAGATTCCATCTGCAGAAAAAAGATAACCCACTCTCCCCTTACTTTTATTTACTTTTGTTTTGTTTTGTTTTGTTTTCTTCCCAATTATTTTTATTAGTTGGAGGCTGAGACACAGATGTATAGAACAGACTTTTGGACTCTATGGGAGAAGGCGAGGGTGGGATGATCTGAGAGAGAACAGCATCGAAACATGTATATTATCAAGTGTGAAACAGATCCCCTTACTTTTAAAAACTTCCCATGCATAACATTCTAGTTACTTCCATAGTAGTATCCTATTTAATAATATGTCTGACTGCCCGCAAGTTCTTTTCTTCCACCCCAGCTTCCACTCCTCATCACTGAAATTGCCACTGGCTTTAATTAGGTTTAATAAACCTCTGGGAAGCAAGGTCAAGGAAACAGAGAGCTCAGATTACCGTGGTGGGGGCTTTCTCTTGCCTGTGGAGGACAGCCTCTCCCCAACACTCTTGCATCCTCCCAAAGCTGGGAAAATCAAGGATGCCAACCACGTGGATAGACATGCTGCTGCTGCAGTCCAAATGGGAACCGTGGGTGGAGAAAATCATTTAGAAAAAGAGAGGGTGGCAAAAGAGAAAATCAAGCCCAATCCCCAACAGCTGCAAAGAACGAAGCCTGGGAAAGGGTTACCTTGAACGAACTCAGACTTCCTGCTCACAGAGGGCAGGGTCCGGTTGAGTCCCAGGATCCTGTCCAGGTGGAAGGCAAACACCTCGCTCATGTCCAGAGACTGCTTGAGCAGCCCGCAGGGGCTGGGACCGCAGGCAGGCACCGAGGGCCGGGTAGTCCCCTCCAGCACCAGCAGGCGTGCTCCGCTCCTGGACTGAGCCGGCTGGAGACCCGCCACGGCGCCGTTGGCCAGCAGGCGCATCTGGCCGATGTCTTCTTTGCTCAGCCACGACGGGGCGCTCTCGCTGTAGATCCGGATGTTGCTCTCCCCGGCCAGGGGCAGCTGCACATCGGGGGCCCCACCTCGCGCTCCCGGACCCTGGATCCACCTCCAGGGTCGCCCCCCAGCCTTGGCCAGGTTTGCCCCTGGGACGTGCCCAGGCACTCCAGGATCCGCTGCCCTTGCAGCTACCTGAGGCCGAAGGGATGGTCCCCCCAAAGCCTCGGGCCCCGGGACTCTAGAAGCCACCGCATACTTTTTCCTGCGCTTCGGTTTCACCGTGCCACGGATGTTAGCTGGCTTGCTGCGCTTCGAGCGCAGGGTGATGTACACCACGTTGGGCTGCAGCGTGGTTCCATTGCCCTGGGACTCGGGAGGGGCCAGCGTGCCATCCAGGGGTATCTCAGGGAAGGGGGCCTCGGTGGCAGCCCGGCTCCGGTGCGGACCCTTTCCTGCCGGCCTTGCGTGCTGGACAGAGGCGCGCCCCACCTGACTGACCAGGAAGCCCAGGTAGATGGCGCAGGCGGTGCCCAGCAGGAGGTTCCTCCGCGTCCTGGGGCGCCGGCTGCTCCAGAGTTTCCGTACCCTTGGGGCGCACAAGGAGCAGAGGAACCAGTTTATGAGCTGCCCTGGCTTATCCCGACAGCTCATTTCTCCGCCGTGTCCACATGCTGAACAGAGTTTAAACTCGGCCGTTGGTGCCTGCTGACATGGAGCATGGTTTTCTGAACGCAGCTGTCGCCTCCGCTCAGGTGTCTAAGTGGTCTCCAGGGGGTCGAGGTGGAAGTTCTGCGTCGGTGATGGAGCCGGGAGGGCTTCTGACACTGGCCACAACAAACCTTTTACACCCTCATCAGTCTCCCCAAGGAGAAGTCTGACTAGTTCCTGGGAATGAATGGAAACAGTGCACTGAGTCAGTTTCAAACTCCCGTTCAGTTCCTCCACAAGAGGAAATTTTAAAAACGGGACGCTTTCCTTTCATTACTGTCCCCACTAAATGATTTTTTAAATGGAGTTAAAAAATAAACAAGATAGATGTATACATTTGATATTCAGTTGCAATTAGTGAAAACAAACTACCAAAATCCAAGACTGTTTTATAACTTGTAGCTAGAGTCTTTTAATTTGATCCTGAAGGAAAAGCATTAAAATTGGACAAATCCAGGCTTTTCTCTTTGAAATTAAAAAATGTTTTAAGAAAAGCAACAAAGGGTTGTAAAAATCTATATCTATCTTCTATCTATTTTTATAAGCCTTGCATTAATTAACTGGGCAGAAGCACCAAGTATTAACATTCAAATTCAGAAATATATTCTCTTAATCTGATGGTACAATCTTTTCTTCATAATACATTTCTTTATCTTACATTAAGGGGCATTATACTATAAAACCATACATGCTCACGTATCTTGGAAGTAATTGCATTTATTCAGTTACACACACACAAACATAAACACAAAACATGAATCTAACTGCTTTTTAGTCCTTTTCTTTCCACCAAATTCAGCTGAAAGAAAACCCAAAGCTCTCTAGCTGTCTTTTTTCACATTATTAAAAAGAAGAAGAACTGGTAAGCAACGTTACTTACACAGCTGGCCCCGTGCTTGGCTCCAGGAAGAATGTAATCTCTGACTCTAATGCAAAGAACTTTTAAAGGCTGAGGCATGTAAGTAGAACATATTTCATGGTCAAGAGTGTTCCACATTTCAAATATTTCAGCTCAGCTTTAAAAGTTCCCTTGAAAACTACTGATTGCAAAGCAAAACGGATATTTGTTAACTGGCTGCTGACAACCCACTTTTAAGACATGTGAGGGTTTTTTTTTTTAATATTAAAAAAAAGAACTTTAATTTTAAATTCTGAAAAAAGCAAATGCCGTCCAGAAGCAGTTTTCATTCAAATATTTCTCCACTTATTTTTAACCCCCGGGAGCCCTCTAGTGTCCTGTTTAGAAACAGACTCTTGGAATTCAAAGGCATTTGAGAGCATTTGCTTAGCAGCAGTAGAATAAAGGCCTCCTGAGATGAATGCCATCACCCCAGAGGCCTGGGATTAGAGCATCAGAGTTCCCAGGGACTCACCTTTTCATCCTGGCTGTGTCCAGGGTCACACTGATCTCCCACCTCTTCTGAGAAGTGGCCTAGAAATCCATTAAAAGGTAAGAAAGGGTTAATGCAAATGAGGGTTAAAATAGAACAGGCAAATAGGAGTACACATGGGTAGGAAGAGACATTTACAGCATGCCATTGTACAGTACAACTGTTCACAAAAACAAAGTTGTGGAATCTCTCTGGAGGTATTTAAAAAACAGGTTAGTGATTGGTTTAGGTGATTTGTGTGTCCTGGCCCAGAGGCAAGGGTTGATGACCTCTGGGTCTCACTTAGACTTACCGTTTTTGCTTCTACAGCAAATAGGATCTAGAAGGCAAACAGGCAGGCACAGTGGAAGCAGACAGGGAATGACTCCCCCGCGGAAAAGAAGTTGTGATATGGGGGTGGGAGAAATTAGAGTATTGTCTGTAATCCTAAAAAGACTACATTTGACAACGCAAAAAAAGATCAAGGCATTAGAATATATATAGAAGGAAAGAATTAACTTCCAAGTGATAAAATACCAAAAATCGTAATAGAACTGTTCCTTTAAGCACTCAAACTCAGATCTTTCTTCCTCTTTAAAAGTTCTGCCATGTGGAGGAACAGGACAGGACAATTCCAATACTGACAGTGGCCTAGAAATACCTGTAGTTTCTGTCTAAACTTCACGAGAATTTAAGCATCAAATTGATTTCCATTGTACTTCAATACTCTTTTTTAAATTTTTATTGGGGTATAGTTGATTGACAATGTTATGTTAGTTTCAGTTGTACAACATAGTGATTTAGTTATACATATACATGCATCTATTCTATTTCAGATTCTTTTCCCAATTAGGTTATTACAGTGTATTGAGTAGAGTTCCCTGTACTATGCAGTAGGTCCCTGTTGGTTATCTACTTTGTATATAACAGTGTGTACATGCCAATTCCAGTCTCCCATTCTAGCCCTCCTCCCTACCCATCCCCTACTGGTTATCATAAATTTATTCTCTAAATCGATGAGTCTGTTTCTGTTTCATAAATAAGTTCATTTGTATCATTTTTAGATTCTGCATATAAGCAATATCATATGATATCTATCTTTCTCTGTCTGATTTACTTCACTCAGTATGATAATCTCTAGGTTCATTTATATTCCTGCAAATGGCATTATCTCATTCTTTTTAATAGCTGATAATAGTCCACCACATATATTTACCACATCATCTTTATCTGTTCCTCTGTTGATGGACATTTAGGTTGCTTCCATGTCCTGGATATTGTAAACAGCCCTACAGTAAACATTAGGGTGCACATAGTCTTTCAAACCATATTTTTCTCCAGATATGTGCCCAGGAGTGAGATTGCTGAATTATATGGGAGCAACGCTCTTTAAAGCACACCTCCATGAGCACAGAATTACTTTCTAGATACTAAATATTAACTTCTTGAAAGAAAGCTATAACAAGGCTGGTTTGTAAAACTATCTTGTTATTTTCTTGTATTTAGAAGAATAACTGACCTGAACTCTTTAAAAAGTAAAAGTTAGTGTTTGGCAGAGGCCAGGTTATACTAGGGAGAAAGCACCACTGTTTCCACCTTGTCTTTTTAGTGGAGAAATGTATAGGAAGTAGATAAGAAATGTCTGAGTTAGTGAGTTTGGTTGACTGTCCCTCTTCTCCCCACATTTTTGTCCCTGACGCCTCACAGATCGTCTCAGAGCCCCTTCCCAGCCTTGGCCTCCTGACAGGGAGTCATCATTGCCCCAAGACAAAGATCTCTGGTAGAGCTAGGAACCAGCTCCTATTAGCTAATATGCTGATATGAAAAATACACTGGATAAGCAATGCTCAGCAGTGAGAATCAGAAAACTCTTTTGTTTGTTTGTTTGTCTGAGTGTTTGGCTGCATCGGGCCTTTGTTTCCGCATGGGCTTTTCTCTAGTTGCGGAGAAGAGGGGCTACTCTTCCTTGCGGTTCATGGGCTTTCGTTGCAGTGGCTTCCCTTGTTGTGCAGCACAGGCTTTAGGTGCACAAGCTTCAGTAGTTGCTGCAAGCGGGCTAAGTTGCCCCACAGTATGTGGGATCTTCCCGGATCAGGGATCGAACCTATGTCCCCTGCATTGGCAGGCAGATTATTTACCACTGAGCCAAGAAGCCCCAGAAAGCAATTTGAATCATTCTTCTCACTGCCTGTTCAAACCTGCTCTTTGGGCTAGTATAGAGCTTTTCAACTCCTTTGGATAAAAATTCAGACATAACTTCTGCAGTTAGATTATATTTCCAATGTCTGTATTTTAGTCACAGATGTACACACATACACACACATAAACTAATCAAAAGTTAGATTCTGTGTAATAGTCAAGATGTTCACATTTATGTTTACAGCATTTCCCCTCTCTGGAAGCTTGCTATTCCTCAGAAAGTATGGCCAAAATCTATAGAAAAAGGAGAAAGGAAATCCACACGGGGTTGTTTTCTCTGTCTAGACCTCCCGTACCTGATCCTCCCACCTACTCACTCTGCCGTGAGTGGCTCTGGCTGTCCCAGAGGTGAAGGGTGATGGGGATGTAAAGCTAACAGCAGAAATGACCTTGCTCCCCTCTGATTCTGTGAATTGCGTGCTGGCTCTCTGGACTGGGCAGGTGCTTAAATCTGACCCTTGACCAGGTAGGGGGATGGGGCCCTCACTTTGAAGATCATGGCCTCTCTGGCTGGCTGTTGATGTCTGCTCAGCCCTTCGGAATCTGACAGCCCACTGTTCCATGGAGAGCTCCTGATTTCTTCAGGCTGTCCTCTTGGGCAGTACTCAAGATGACCGGCAGGCTGACTTTCTCTTTTGGGCCTGTGTGCATTGCCCACAAGTGGTCCAACAGACATAGTCACATCCTCTGCCCCAGAGACCTCAGGCCCCCCAGGGCAGCTGTTGCATTCCCAGGCCTGGTGAACCCACACGGAAATGTGTAACCTTTCCCACCTTTTGTTCAAGGTCACAATTGAAACTGAACACAAAAGTATTTTTCCCCATCAGGTATCATGGGCTCCAAAGAGAAGTTTCATTTACTTTTAGAAAAACAAGGCTGAATTCCTTGAATTCATGGCTTGAAATTTGCTGCCACGCTCTACTATCCACATATGCCACATAAAGACACATAGAACACTCAAAATATTTGTGATTGCTATGAATATTATTAGCTCAGAGAGACTGATAGGATAGTCCTCACACCTAAAGCATTCTCTCTCCGTTGAAAAATAAATCTATCAGGAGAACAAAGTGGAAAAGTAGACAATAAGACAATGGTGTGGCCCATTGAAATAACCCACTAAAAGAAATAAATAAATAACCCGCTAATTTTTTATACCTTTATGGAGAAGTAATGTGAGCAGGCACTGTGGTGTGTGCTAATGTTCCACTTCTTTTTTTTTTTTAACCATATTGTACACTTTTTTTTTTCGACTGTGCCACACAGCTTGCAGGATCTTCGCTCCCTGACCAGGGACTGAACCTGGATCCCTGCAGTTAAAGAGCTGAGTCTTAACTAATGGATCACCACGGAATTCCCTAATATTCTATTTCT